AAAAGAAAAAATATGAGAAAAGGAAAAAAATGGAAACAAAGTCTTTGCAAATAGGGAAGGGTGGAGGGGGTGAAGGAAGGACAGGGGAGGGGAAAAAAATAAGAACCAAGATACTCTTGTAATGGCACAGGATCCCAATGGTGAATGTAACTGTATTTTATACCTAAAACGTACCAATGAACTTAATGGAAAAAAAATCACCTGCTATGTGGTGAGGCATAGAGTAAATATTTGTGGGTGAGTGAAAGGCAGATCTATGTTCTCCAGAGCCTTTCAACTCTAAAACTGAGCAAAATATGAAGATATCTAAACACCCCCAGTCAGGTTCTGTTCCCCCTGACCCTATGTCCCAGGCCTTGAATTCCTGGAATCAACCCATGGCCCAGGGGAATTTCTCCTCCACTGGCCTCACTCTCTTCCCCAACCCAGTGGGACTTCCTCCCTGAAGCAGCCACAAGGAGTGCAGAGTTCCCAGAGAGTGCTATCTACAACCTTTTAATTACAGGGAAATTCCAACTGTAGTAAACTCTCAGTTCTATAATCACCACCCTTGACATACCAAGACTGGGAAGTGGACCTGGACACCTGATGGCAAAACCTGATTTCTAAGTCCAGAACTCCGGAGAAGGCTAAGGTTAGAATGACCAGGACCAATGAATGTCAAAATCACCTTTCATTCTTTCCATATCTTACAGGGTATAAAGAAGCAAATTAATAATGGCCCAGTGAGTTTAGATTATAGCACGACTAAACAACCAGGCTCAAATGAAAGATTTACATTGTGTTTAATTGTGGAACCTTGCATAAGGAAAGCTTGATGGTTTATATGCAGAGTAAAAGAAGGAACAATCTAAGGTCCTTGAATACTTTGAATGGCATCAGCCAGATTATTTTTTAAAAATCTCTTCCAGGGCGGCCCTCTTGGCTCTGTCTTCCTGTTTCATTTGTTCTCTCTCCATCTCTGTGCCAGTCTGTGCCCTGGAGAGTGCCTTCCTGCCCTCCAAGACTGGGACTCTTCTCTCCAACTCACACTCTGGTCCTCAGGAAGGGGCTATGAAGGCCAGCAGCTGAGACAAGACAGAGTAGCCTGAGAGAGCAGAACCAGCTGACAGGTATGAGGGTGACTCTGACCTTCTGCAGTCTTGCCTCCAAGACAGTTGTATGCCCTCATCTAAAACCCATTTCGCTCCCAATAACTGCCCCCACCCTGTCCTGCTCACTTCTTCTTGAAACCCTCCAGTTGCTCCTGCACGTGGTTGAGCTCCAAGGTCAGCCTCCCAGCATCATCCTCCATGTATTCATTCACCCGCCTTAGTGTCTGGATGTAGCCCTGGAACAGCTCCTCCAGGTTGCCCTGGCAGAACTCATGGTTCTGGTAGAATTGCCACTTAGTCTCCAGCAGCTTGTTCTGCTGTTCCAGGAAGTGCACCTGCCAGTCAAAGTGAAGGAAAGAGACTCAGTGGAGAGCCTACGGAGGCAACTGGGTCCCCAAACCCTCTCTGCCTTTGGGATGGCCCCTGCCCTTCAGCCACCTGTGACCCTCCCAAAGAGGCCAAACCACTGGCAAAGTCTGAAAGTGCAGGTCATAATTATCCCCTCCAAGTAACTTCCCTCCACCCATCCTCACCGCCTCGAAAGAGCACACAACTTACAGCCATTCATTCACTCTGCACAGAATGAAGCACCAGCAGACCACATGTGATAGGCCAAACAATGAGTCCTCAGGGATACCCATGCCCCATTCCTGGGGTACCTGTGACTGTGTTACACTGCATAGGGACCTTCCAAAGGAGTCTTATTGCTGGAATTAAGGTTATGGACCTGAACATGGAAGCTTTGCCTGGATTATCCAAGTGGGAAAAAGGTACCACAGGACCCCTTCAAGGTGGAAGAGGAAGGCATAAGAATGAGCAAGATGCTCATCTGGAGACAGAACAAAATTTGACACATGAGAAGGAGTCTACCCACCATTACTGGCTTTGAAGACAGAGAAAGAAGGGGCCACTCGCCAAGGACTGCAGGAAGTTTAGCCTCTGGGAACATCCCCTAGTAGCCAGCCATCAAGAAGCAGGAACCCAAGCCCTACAACCTCTTAGAATTTAATTCTTCGAAAAGCTTTTATGCCTCTGGAAACAGATTCTCCCCTGTGACCTCCAAAAAGATACGCAGCCCTGCCCCGACACAGCTGTTAGCCTCACAAGAAGGTGTTCCTTTAAGCTGCTAACTTGTGCACAGCAATTAAAAATTGCAATTAAACAATACACCTAACCATGATTCTCATTCTGATCTTGGGGTACTGGAGCCCAAGAGGGTGTTCCCTGCACCAGGAATTAGGAGATCCCAGCTACCTAACTCTGCCACCACCCAGGCCACTTTCCCTCATTCTCTCTGAGCCTTGCTGTAAACCAAGACCGTAGGAATTCATCACTGGCAGCTGCTCAGCCCTATCAGGCCCACAACCAAGGCCTATTTGACCTAGACACTGTTTTATAGAAACCTGATTAGTTACCAACATTTAGTATTTAAGTGATTTAACTCAAGAATCTGAATCTCTGATCTTTTGACAAATCAGAAGTACTAACAGTGCAAAGCCTGCAGCTAGTGCTGACTAGTAGGTAGGTCTGCCTCTCCGTTCAGCTTCACCCATGTGACCTGCTATGCCCCAAACTAAGTTTGACAGTTCCAGTGCTGAAGTAGGTGATTCCCTGTCAGGCCTAACTTGTTGGGAATACAGTCCTCATACAAAGAACTCTCTACTGAATATGCCTGTGGGAAAGGTAACAAAATCCTAGTTATCCAAAAGGTACCTGCCTTGGGATTCACCATGCAGGCCAAGGGCCCGGGGCAGCCCTGCAGCTTGCTCTCTGCAGGACTACCCCACCATATCTGTGCAGTTTGCAGCCTGGAGCTCAATGCAGTTTGGAGCCTGAAGGGAGGTCTTTGCACATGGAGATGGCAAAGCCAGCCTGGTGCAGCGATGTGACTCTCTTCCCAGACCAGGAACTGATTCCTCTCAACAGAGAGAGAGCAGCCACCTTGGATGATATCCAAAAGGCCATGTGGGAAGATCCCTTTGCATCTGCATGTTCAGGGCCCTCACTGCACACATGCAGCCTCTTGCCAAAACACACAGCCCACATGCAAGTCATGGGCTGGATTTCAACTTCCCTGACTCTGAGTGTGTGACCCATGCAATGGACAACCTGACTAGCCCCACGGTCGGCCTCACTGTGTCACTGCAAGGGAAGAGTGGCTGTAGCATATTGAGAATGGAGGTGCAGCACCCTTGCTGAAAATGGAGTTTGTCTGAGAGCAGAGCTCCCCTCACCATCACCCTGGCTCATGCCTTCCTACAAAGTCCCTGGAACATCATGCTAGTGGGCCTGAAAGATGAGCCTTTCCTCACTTGGACTTCAGTGGCTGATCTCCTCTGAAGACTGTGAGCACTTAGAGGGGCATTATTAGGTCAAAGGAAATCAGCAATATCTACACAATCAAACACTGTAATGTCAACAAAGTGCAATTCAGCACGCTCTTCTTGAGCCAGCCTCTATGTTTCTCAATTCACTGCCTTTAATCTACACGTTCAGGGGTAAAAGGTGCCTTGGCAGAAGTCCTGAGGATTCATAGCCTTGCTGCAATGTCCCCATCAAGAAGGAAAAGGAGCTCTTCCGCCGCCTTTTTTTTTTTTTTTTTTGGTACCAGAGATCAAACTTGGGTCCTTGCGCTTGCGAGACAGGAGGCGAAACCACTGAGCTAAATCCCCGCCGCCATTTTAAATCCAGCTCCATACAACGCTCCGCTGCCGCCAGCACCCGGCGACCCGGACCGCGCGCCCGCTCGCCCCTGCTGACGGTTCCGCCACCATGAAGGACATGAACGAGTACAGCAATATAGAGGAGTTCGCCGAGGGATCCAAGATCAACGTGAGCAAGAACCAGCAGGATGACGGTAAAATGTTTATTGGAGGCTTGAGCTGGGATACAAGCAAGAAAGATCTGACGGAATATTTGTCTCGATTTGGGGAAGTTGTAGACTGCTCAATTAAAACAGACCCAGTCACTGGAAGAGGGCTTGGATTTGTGCTTTTTCAAAGATGCTGCTAGCGTTGATAAGGTTTTGGAGCTAAACGAACATAAACTGGATGGGAAATTGATAGACCCAAGAGAGCCAAAGCTTTAAAAGGGAAAGAAACCCCTAAAAAGATTTTTGTGAGTGGATTGAGCCCAGATACTTCTGAAGAAGAAATTAAAGAACATTTCGGAGCCTTTGGAGAGATTGAAAATATTGAACTTCCCATGGATACAAAAACAAATGAAAGGAGAGGATTTTGTTTTATCACATATACAGATGAAGAGCCAGTCAAGAAATTGTTAGAAAGCAGATACCATCAGATTGGTTCTGGAAAGTGTGAAATCAAAGTTGCACAACCCAAAGAGCTATATCGGCAGCAACAGCAACAACAAAAAGGAGGAAGAGGTGCTGCAGCTGGTGGGCAAGGTGATACTAGGGGTCAAGGCCGAGGTCAGGGCCAAAACTGGAACCAAGGATTTAATAGCTATCATGATGAAGGATATGGAAATTACAGTAGTGCCTATGGTGGTGAGCAAAACTATAGTGGCTATGGCGGATATGATTATACTGGGTATAACTATGGGAACTATGGATATGGACAGAGATATGCAGACTACAGTGGTCAACAGAGCACTTACGGCAAGGCATCTCGACGGGGTGGCAATCACCAAAATAATTACCAGCCATACTAAAGAGGAAGACATTGGAGAAAACAGGAGATGCTAAAGAAATCTTGCAGGATGACATTGAAGACTGGTCTTCTGTTGCTCTAATGATTATTTTGTAAAAGACTTTCTAGTGTACAAGACACAACTGTGTCCACCTGTATATAGCTGCCAGTTAGTTTTGTTTTTACTTTGTCCTTTGCTATGTGTTATGACTCAGTGTGGGTTTGTGTTTATACAAATTTTATTTGTATGATTTCAAGTTAAATCCCAAATAAATGCTTCCTTATGTGATTGTTAAAAAAAAAAAAAAAGAAGGAAAAGGAAAGGACCCTCTGGCCCTCCTTGGTCCCGGCTCCTATCTTCTTGCCTAGGATGGCAGCACCTCCTTAAAACAGCTGTCCCCCCCACCCACACCCTCCTACCCATCATCAGGTTCCATGTCCCTTGCCCCTTCCTAAGCCACACTCCCAGGAAATAGTATGCAAACCAACCCTGTTCAGGAACAGTGTGATCCAGGACACCCACCTTGTCGATGAAGGCAGCAAATTTGTTATTGAGGCACTTGATCTGCTCCTTCTCCTGCTGCTTCACACACTGAGCGTTGGGGTTGATCTCCAGGTTGAGGGGTGTGAGGAGGTTCTCATTGACTGTCACAGTGGAGATGCAGGGAGGACTGGGCCCGCACAGGCCACCTGCCCGGTAGCCAAAGCTGCCGCCAATGCGTAGGGGCCATCTGCAACCCAGTGCCATCCGAGGTGACCCCACCACACACAGGCTCCGGCTGCCAAAGCCCCAGAGGCCTCTGTAGCCTGGCACCCCAGCACTACCCCACAATAGGTCATGGCACTGACATTGCTGTGAGTCCCTGGCTTGGGCACAACAGCAGAGCAAGAGCTGAAGTTCCTGACCCCATGGCTGGAGCCAATGCGATAAGAGTGACTTGCCATGCCTCTGCTGTGCAGGACAGACCCAGGGAAGGTGGAGAGGACTGAAGAACAACAAGGGCTCTCACTGAGACCTGTTATTGCTCCTGCCTTTTATCAGGCAGAGGACAGGAATTTTGACCACATGAAGGGCAAGGAGAAAGTTATGAATGCCGTTTATGAGCATGGGAACTTCTTGCTAGGCAGCCTAAGAGCAGAACTGAAACCTGCCTCTTTTAATAAGCATATCAAGGAGACCCTACATCACAATAAACCTGCCTCCTGACTTTTCAACCTCACAGGCCTAGACATATCTCTCAAGCCCCTAGTCTCCCTCCAACCCTGTGAATAGACCAGGAATCATTATCCCACATTGGCAGGCCAAGGCATCCTATGGCCCACTCAAGTCCCATTGTCCCACATTTCCAGACCAGCACATGTGAAGGAACTCTTCAAAGCCTTCCTGCGACTGCCTTCACCCACATTCTGCCCTGGAGAAATTGCCAAGTTATGAGATCTCCCACAGAGACAAGGACCTCAGCCAGGGGCTGCTTGTCCCACCTCCCTCCTCATCTTATAGGACACTTCTGTGTCATGCCCAGAACAGTGTGGCAATGAGGTACAATGGGGGAAATGCCTGCCTTTTGCTAGAGCACAGTGTAACCCCTGCCAAACCACCCATCTCCTCAGTCCTGGGGTGAAGATTTCTGTGCATGAAGATAGAAATGAAAAACAACCTTTGAAATCGCCCTCAGGGAAACAAGCTTGCAGGGGACACAAGGAAATAGTCAAACATAATAGGAGAGGGCAAGAGTCCTCTCTCACACACATACACACACACACACACACACACACACAAATACACATACTCCCACAGAAGACAGAGATGACAGAATCACCTTGTATGAGAAGACTATAAGACCAACATAGAGGGCTGGGGGCCAAGCTTGGACCTAGGGAGCATCATTAAGATGAGGGCTTTGCTAAAGCTTGGAAACAGCACAAGTGCCCATCAACTGGAAACTGGATAAAGAAGATGTGGGTTTTTTATAAAATGGAGTACTACTGAGCCATAAAGAATGATAAACTAGAGACATTGATAGCTAAATGGATGCATATTGAGGCCATACTCTTAAGTGAAATAAACAGGACACACATGTGCAAAATACCGAATAGTTTCTCTAGTGTGAGAAACTGAAAGTGTAAATAAGGATGAAAATGATTAAAATTAATAATTGATCATTTGAAATAGGAAAAGGCCCAAGGGTTTGGGAAAGGCAGGAGGGGAAGGGGAAAGGGAAGAAGGGAAAGGAAAAACTATGAGAAAGAAAAAAAAATGGAATCAAAGTCTGTGTAAATAGGGCAGGGTGGAGGGGGTGAAGGGTGCACAGATAATGGGAGAAAAAATAAGAACTAAGATACATCATGTTCTGGTACAAACAAGCAACAATAAATGTAAATATTTTATACCTAAAATGTACCAATAAATATATATATAAATAGAAAAAGATGAGGGCTTTGACCCCAAGTCTGTAGGACAGAGCTCTAAGGGTGAACTAAGTCAATGGGACAGGCCAGGGAGGTGCTCTATAAATTGACTTCTATAAAGACAACTCTTCAACCAAGCTATTCTCCTTCTATTATTCTTCCCAAAAGAGTTAAAATCATCATATTACAGGGATATATGTATACCTATGCTTATAACAGTACAATTTATAATAACTAAATCTTGGAAACAGCCTCTATGTCTATCAACAGATGAATGGGTAAAGAAAATGAGGTATTTATACACAATGGAGTACTACTCTGCCATAAAGATACACTTGAGGCATTTGTAGGTAAATAGATGCACCTTGAGACCATAATATTGAGCGAAATAAACCAGATGCACAAATTTAAAGATCACATGGTTTCTCTTATATGATAAACCCAAAATATTAATAAAGAGCAATATAAAGGCTAGATATATGTGCTCGCTTTGGCAGCACATATACTAAAGGCTAGATATATGAAATAGGGAGATCTTTTTCAAATAGAAGGAGAACAAGAGATGAATGGGGGAAGGAATGGAAAAAAGATTTTAAAAAGAGAATTGAAGGGAAAAAATGGAAATAGAGCATTTTCAAATGGAAAGAGCTCAAGAGTTAGAGGGAGCAGGAAGGGATGGGAGAAGAAGGGGGGTCAAAAAAAGAATTAAGATGTGTTATGTACATAAAACCACTTCCCACAATAACTGTGATTATTATTATGTATTGCAAACATGTACTAATAAAAAAATACATAAGAAAAGAAAAAAGAAACAACTCGTTCTGGCCATCTATTCTTTGGCCACATGGCTGCTTCACCTCTGAGGAGGCAGTGAGGAAGGGCTCAAGTGAGTCTGAAGGCGAGCAGCCCTTCCACAGTGGACACACTAACTAACCAAGGGAGCAACACAGAAACCAGCACATGGAAATCATGCTCTGCATGGCCTGTCTCATGCCGGCCTCTGTTGGTTTCCTTTTTCAGTCAACTGGTATTTACTGAGCACCATCTTTATGCCAAGTGCCATCCTATGAGCTTGGGATGTGTCTTTAAATAAGACAGATAAGGATGCCTACTTGAGTGGCTTTCCATTCCAGTGGGAGAGATGAATGATATACTCAGTAAATGAATCAATTCTATGTTAGATGGGGATAAGTTTCAAGGGAACAGGAAAGAAGTAGGATAAGGGAAATCTGGCTGGCTTGGAGAAAGAGTGAAGTACACTTTTGATAGGGTGGTCAGAAGCAGCCTCATTGCAAAGGTGATACTTGGGCAAAGGTTGGGGTGTGAGAGAACAAGCCATATGGGCCAAGGAAAGAGCCACTGCAGAGGCCCAGGTGTGTTCCCAGGGGCACAAGGAGGCTGGTGTGTTTCACACTGCAAGAAGGAGGAAGAGTTCAGACCAAGGATTCAGACAAATACAGAGACAAGGGAGCACCACAGATCACAGACAGCAGGGAGCCATGGTCCAGATGTCTGCTCCAATAGGGCAAGGCCACAGTGAAGGGTAGAAGAAGGGTAGAGCCCTGCCAGGGAGAAAGCCCTGGAGAGTATGAGAAGTAGCTAGTGGGGATGGATCCTAAAGAGAGGGCCAAGTGGATTTCTTGACAGAATTTGGAATGTGAGAGAAGGGGAGGAGCCAACAGTGCTTCTGTGCTTTCTTGTGAGTTAAATTTATCCCTGCAACCAAAACAGCAATAGTGCAATGAGACAGATGCCCAAGGTGAATGGTTCAAATGCTTGTCCTTGCTTTGCTGACTTGTGCAACCTGGTACAGGTCACCTACCCTCGCTGGCTCCCGATGCTAACCATGCATGTGGAGGTCAAATCAGATGACTTTCAACATTTTCCAGACAAGCTAGGCAGTCTCTTTTTCGTTGAACACCTTCAGAGCTGATCATTCTACCTGGTGCATGCTAAGTATACTACATAGACTAACAGATACATGATCAGATAGACCTATGATTGATGATAGGTAAGATAGATAGATAGATAGATAGATAGATAGATAGATAGACAGAAGCAGATATATATAACTTCATTGAGTCTCAGTATCACACATGGGTCTATAAACCTCTTTTCGTCTTCCCTTTCCTGGGCATCTTCACACACTCACTGTCTTCTACCATCCCACTCAGATGTAGCAAAACCAACCTGACAGGGAGCTGCCCTTGTTCTGTGTTGTGTCATGTCGTTGTAGCTTCTTCCCTACCCCCAGCCTGTACAAATCTCCAAACTGAAGAACATCACATGGATTTGATATCATGCCTGGTCAAAGTCAATTAATTTGATGGGAATCAAGTCTGGGTGGTGGGGATGATAAAGTGAGCTGGAAATGAGAAAATATTAGGATCAACTTTGCTCTACAGATTAATTATCTAGATGTCAATTTCTTGCCATCATTGTCAAATCTGATTAAATGCCATCCGTCTCACATTCCTGAGTGCAGAGGCAAGAAGATCAACACAAAACTGTACTTTTCTGCCTATGCCCTCATCACCCTGGTTGAAACCACCTGCTCCAGAATTGCCTTACATATCATGGCCACTTTATCATTCCCAAAACTGCCCTCCTCCCAGGTTCCAAAATCAGGAGGTCACCATCCCACCAACTTCAGAGCTCCTCTTTCGTCCCCCCAAAACCAAGATTTCTTTTTTATTTTATTTGTTGTGAAGTTTTATGTTTTTTAAACCACTGTATTGAGATATAATTGTCATACAAAAAGCTATACCTACTTAAAGTTTACAACATGATGAGTTTGGAGATAAGTGCACACCCACAAAACCATCACCACAATCTGTGGCATAGCCTGTCCATCACTACTAAAATTTTTCTCCCACCTTCTTTATTTTATTATCACCATCATTATTATTTTGTGATATGACTACTTCTTGTAAGTCCACTCTCTGAGCAAATTTTTCAGTATCACATACTATATTGCTAATGCTAGGCACTCTGCTGTACAGTGGCGGTGTAGGACTTACCTTGCTAACCTTAAATAGGCTATTTCAAGCTGATCACTTCAAGTGCATGTGAAAGCTTTTACTCCCCTCCAACACTTTTCTCATTAATATCAAGATTTACTCCTTTTTACACTGTGTATCTGTAAACCAATTTTTTTGGAGTCCCTATTCTTTCATCTTTTAATTCTTATATTGCAGTTAAAAGTGATTTGTGTACCATCATTGTAGTATTAGATGATTCTGCATTTGTATGTATATTGATCTTTATCAGAGAGATTTATGCTTCCATATACTTTTGTGTTTTTATATACTGTCATTTAATATCTTTTGTTTCAACATGAAGAGCTTTCTGCAGCAATCCTTGTAAGGCAGGTCTGGTGAGGGCAAAAACTCCCTGAGCTCTCAGCTTTTGTTTGCTTAAGAAGGCCTTTATATTTCTTACAAGTTTGTGTGGGTGTGGGAAGAGTGGTTGGAGAATGGGTACACAATACGTTTACACGGCGAGGCGTCGTTATGTTAGCTGTGTTGTGGCTAGAGCTCTAGACTGAATAGTTTATTATCTCTTAAAAACCACGAAAAGGTAAGAAGCGGCAGCATCATATCACATAGAAATGATAAATATATGAAGAATGGAAATGCTAATTACTCCGATTTGTTGTTATATATTGTATGCATACAGCACGTCGTCATTCGTTTGTATTCTACAACTATATCCAAATATCTTGCGTCCGTGAAAACTTTCTTTCAAATATGGACTGATCTGCAAGAGAAAAGAAAGACAGCTGTCTTCCCGAAATGCATACCAAACGCTTTCAAAGATTTGTTTCAGAGGGAACTGGGTGAGGAGAAATTGGAGTAGATACGTCCACGGGCAATAAGGCGAATATGGGATCGTTCCATCTGGATTATTGGGCGTGTTTTACATCACATCATTGTTTAAAAAGCAAAGCAAAGCAAAGGAAACCGGATGTTTTTCTCACACCTCTACTCATAAGAAATCCATAGAAGTCTTTCAGGATTTTGCTGAGCGGGATATTTTGGGACTCAAGAAATAAGGAAAGGATCAAATTTGGATTGCCCGAAACTGTGCTGAGACATTTGTAAGTATTTCTTTACTAAAATTACAAATGATCCTGTCATCTATATCTATATCTGTGTCTATATCTATATCTATGTGTGTGTGTGTGTGTGTGTGTATACATCATAAGATAAAACATATACTAGAAAAATGATTCAATGAGATTTGAGTTTAAAAGAGTGTAGTACTTTTAAATGTAGAATGTGCTAAAATCTTAATGACATTAACGAATGAATTCTAATGAATTACTTCTTCTGGGGTCTGAGAGTTGCACTGTGAGAGGTCACATGGTATGCATGTAAAGAAACATCGCGGTCTGTCTGCCATACTAAGGGTTTTCATTTCCTTAACGAAAATATCGGCTTTTACAAATTTCCAGCCGGGCGGAATTTGACAATTTGTTCGAGCTCGGCTCTGTCTCTGTAATTGTATGTGACTGTATACATAGCTGGATAATAAATCTAAATATTGGATTAATAGACATTTTTGCTTTGTGAAATTTACATATCAGAGACTGTGACACGTTCCAACGATTTGGGAAACATATTACTAAACACATAGGCAATATTTTAGGGAAAAAGCCTGAACGTGCAGAAAATGTTCTGGATTAAAGCTGCTCTTTGTAAGGGAGCTGTGTATAGTCTTCTAGTTTCCTTATATCTCCTATAATTTTCACATCCCTCAAGGCACATACATGTCCGCCTACCTGTGTAACCCACATACACACTAAAAACTCATGGAAAAATAGGGTGACATAAAATAAATAATTACTCTCATCAGATAAAGTCAAAAACTAATTGACAGACTCTCAGAACAAGATTTTCAAACATAGGGAAACCCATCCACACTCAAATGTAACTGCTCTGCGTTGCCCTTTAAATTTTGGTACTTCACAATCGCTTTATGACATCATCCCTCAACATCACCCGGGTGGACATCTAACGCAGAAGTTCTGGCCACAGGCCAGAAGAGGCCATGTCTCTCCCACTGCTGTAAGTCGTCTGTGTCATACCTTTTCGTATTCCTAATGACTCCCGGCTCTATTTAGCTGTATAGTTATATATTTTAATAGACGGGATGTTGGTTCATGATAACTTCAGAGATCACTCCGATCCAAATGGTAGTGTAAACGTATACTATGTCCATCACATATGAGGTGTTTTTCTGTGAATTTCAGTCAGTTCGTGTTCTTTTACCATACAGTGCCATTATGACCTTGACTACTATCTTTTGGAATCTCAGTAGTTTTACAACGATGTCTTCTTTTAAAAATTATGAAAGCAACTAATGTCTATGAAGCTACTTGGTAATGTAGAGCCAAACACCATATAGTAAGATTGTGGTATCTTATAAAAATGTAAATAGATTGCATTTCTAACTAAAGGAAAACATACTAAAGTGTAGAACTTGAAGATTAATTTCATATTTTTCCTCTAAAACGTGGTGTTGGATCTTTAAATTTACTGTTCAACACTACATTTTTGATAGGTTTAGGTTAAGTGTTTATAGGTTTTCATTCCTTTTTCCATTTTAATGTGGACAATACAAAGTTTTATATAAGTATATTGACCTTATTTTCATTTATCATAAATTGCTCCTTATCTTACAGGCTTGAATTAAAAGTACATAATTCCTGGATTTTTTAAAATTCCATCACTTTAATATGTAATTTTGTATTAAATGCAAGGAAGTTTTAAGCAGGCAATTAACTTTTCATTTCCAGGAAATAACTCCCTAAATCTCACTGTCTTTCAAAAACTGCATCATGTCAGCTTCTGAAAACACATCACTTCTTCAAATTAATCCTAGAACAATTTCTAAGCTTTGAACACATTAAAGGCTGCTTACCTTCCTTCACATTGCAGGTAGATGCATACTGCCTTCTTTTAAAACTATTCTCGAGTCATTTGTTCCTTAAATTGCCCTCAAATCTCTATTTGTCATGGTATTGCTCTATCTCCTCACTTTTTACAAAAGGCAGAAATAAGTCTGCAAACTGGAAGGATGGACTTTGAAAGGATAAAAGGGTTGGTTGGTTTTGGCTTGTTCAGAAAATGTCTGATAAGCTCGCTTAAAGTTCAAGCCTATAAACAGTCCCATCCCATCAAATCATGCAACTGTGCCAAAAACTAGTACAGGGGTGGGCCGCATAACCAGGGGGCCTGGCTCCTTTGTTGTGAGCTTGATCTTGAACTCTGCCAGCACCGGGAGGGAGGACCTGGGCGAGAATGTAGAACTGCCCAAACTGCTTTAGTAATTCCATTTGAACACTGAATTCCGTCAAGTTTTTGTTTTTGACAGGAACTCAAGATTAATATTTCTTCTAAAAGCTTGCCTGATCACTTTTATATATTTCAAAATCTATTTGAGAAATAAAATAGTAAAATATATTTGAAGCCCCCTACAATTGAATCCCAAGTTTAGGTGACAATCTCATTTAGCACTTATTCAATCCTAAACAGTTTATATATTACTGTTTTAATGAGTTCCAGTATTCTCTAATTTTGGCAAACTTATTAAGAATACAGAGCTGTGCTAAAATATTTGTAATAGGTCTTAATTTTTTACACTGACAAGAAGAGAGTACTTGACTTTGTAATGGTGGTGGAATATAGCCTGGTGGTTCTTTTCTTCCACATCAACTTGACCTGGGGTGGCCATTCAGCTCTGTCAGAAAAGGGAATCTCAACTAGGACAGTCTGCAAGTTTCGCCCTTTCCCCAGATAAGTGTTAAAACATAATACTTGCTTAATACAAGTGTTCAAATGTTAGGGCGTTTAAGTGAACAGACAGTAATTCATGCCTCAGGAATACCCCAGGTGGCCAGAGTTTCCCCAGGGGTGGGGATGTAGGGAGAGCCTGTTCTGGAGGGAGAGAGGACTGGTGATTTATTCAGCGCCTTCACACTGAGCCACATCTCCAGCCCCACTTTTTAATGTTTATTTTTAGTCAGTGTCTCACTCAGTCACAATTGTCCAGGAAACCCATGGAAACCCAGGTGCAGAGGAGATGCAGGACCTGAAGACCTAAGGCTGTGAGTGAAGGCCAGGTGGCCACTCTGGCCCCCCAGTCAGAAGCTGGCATCTGGCGACCCTCTGAAACACCGTGCGGAATGGGCCTCAGATTCTTCAGGCCAGGGTGTGCGGAGTGGGATAGAGCATTTATCCACTGACTTCCTCGGCCATTTACTGAGTGTTGCCCAAGGTGTTGCCAACCTGTGGCTCCAAGAACTTTTCACAAGTGACTAGCATGCTACTCTGGTGCTGAAGAAAGCTTTGGCCCTTGAGATACGACTTTGAACCAGGAAGCTCCCAAATTAAAATTGAGTCAGAACATCAGTGTTGTCTGCTTCAGCATGGTTTCGAACGCCCTCTTCACGTGCATTATTTTAAATCCTTCATGAAGTACAGTCGACATGTGTGGCATCACAGTCGAGTGTCTTTGACCAAAGCTGAATAAAATGCTTTGATGAACTCTGTCTTCATGTGTGCCGATCAGGTTCACTGTTAACGTTTTCTGAATCAAGTGCAAACCTTATGTTATGGTTTGTTTAGATGTCCCTCCACAGCCTCATGAGGATGAGCTGGGACTTTCTTTTTCAAATTTCATTGAATCTGGAGTGTGTGATGCTGGGGATAAGGGTGTGTGATTACGAAACCACTACATGAGAGTCATTAGCTTGGCTCCACCCTCATCCCGGGAGTCTGAATAAGATGAAAAGGGCCACGAAAATGCCGTTAAACTCTCTTGTTGCCTTTGCTGCCGTGTGTACACCATGGTGTTTCTCCTGTGCAATGCCTGTTTGCCATCCCTGCCTTGGAGCAGCCGATTCTGGACTGGAACATCTACGAACTGTGAACCAAATTAAACCCTTTCCCTTCAACTTTTGCTGCCAGGTATTTTGTCTCAGCAATGAGAGAAAAGCAACTCACACACCTAGCTTCACCTAAATTATGCATACCTATGTTGAAGTGTGCATATGTGTAGACACATGTAAGCTCATCTGTAGGTGCTGATATGTTGTGTGGTTGTGTATTTATTTATTTTTTAAATTTTATTTTATTGGTAAATTTTAAGTATACAATATAATGAC